CGTGTATCCTGTAGTTCTCCGCTGCCGATCTGTGCCCCTGGACAATATTTCGTATAACGTGCGTGAAGTCTACATAATATCTAGTTGACGCATTGAAAAGCGAACTAATGGTTTACCCTCTTAGTTTCGTATTGACTTTAGACTCGGCTTCAGAGGAGTAATGTTTCGTTCCAGATTGTGCATTTCACTTTGTCGATATCAGGGGTGCTGGGTCGAGCTAGGTCGATGAACTGGGCCGATGACGACTGCACCCAATGTCTGCGTCGCGACGCCCCGCCATGCCCCAGTAGACACAAACAGCATCCTATCTGGCGGGGTTATGCATCTGGTCACAACACTGCAGTTGTTTTAAGACTGAACTCTTCGTGATATGTCACGGCTCGCTGAAAGATATAGCTGACTCGTAAATACGTCAAAAGTTGGACAATGTCAGTTATCAGAGGGTTTTTTTTATATGCACGATGACACGTACTTTCAGTGGTTTTATTTTCGAGATTACTTACAATGGTCGGGATATAATCCAGAACCCTTTAGACATTAACCTTTTCTTTTGACTAACCAGACTCCAACAAACCCAGTCGTCCGTGATGAGTGAAAAATCTTTGATCTTTTTCTTTAAATATTCTCTAGCGTCTATTTTTGTATTTATCCACAGAAATGAAACAGTAAATAACTAGCGTGGGTGTAAGGAACTTTGTTAACCTTTAAAAGGACAGTGGTAATTATACGCACCACCTACTTTAATGGCCAACAAGTCTGCATGTTGGCCACAGAATATATATATGTGGGTTTTGTACGGTTTCCAGAGTAAACGCCGATTTTTTTTCCCTGTAACAGGATTGGCCAACTGGTAGGGACTAATTTTTAAATAAGCTTTAAATGAGCTTCGTGTTCGTTTTGATTATTAGACGTAGTTCTAAAAATAAATCTTTATTTGCCACTCAAAATTAGTTACGCCTGCATCGAGGTTTAAGACATGGCGACGAAGCGCATCCAGACGAACTTCCGCTACATTACATCATTGTTATTGTTAGAAACGTCAGCTGACCGTGACATCAGTGAGCTTTCATTAGATTACAAATATGACGAAGTCTGTATTGAAGGGATAGAGCAAAGGTATTAAATATTGGGCGTCTGAAATGTTAGTCCTTGTAGATTTCCATTTTAATAGTAGATTTGTTATAACGTGAACAAGAGAAAGTGATCCTGTTATGATTCGAACGTTTTAAGACCGCGAACACCGAACCTTCCATTCGAATACGATCCTGAGCCAGTTCAATTTACCCTTCGTCCTCACAACCTATTAGGCTGAGACGATGTCTTGAGCCCCCAGATGATGTATGTATGAACATGGAGCACGGTTGACATGATATTTACAGGAGAAAACCGAAGGACTCAGAGAGAAACTTGTCCCAATGCCACTTTGTCCACCGTAAATCCTGATCGCCGCGGTGAGAAGCCGTCGACTAAACGCCTGAGGTGTAAATTCAATTTGATTATATCAAAACAAATTCATTAGAATTGTCACAGAATATCCACACAGGGTTACCATATGTTATCCAGTAAGGAAGTTATTAGGATTTCTTTTGGTGACGTCTTAAACAGTGAAAGTAGACGTTTCAGAACCGGCATACTCATACAAGGAATGTTGGATTTAGTTAAAGGCAGAAACTACTGTGGAAAATGTGAAAGTTTGCCATCTCATGTCGTAAATACTATTATACCAGAAGAATTTGATATTAGTTGAAATGAGTTGTTTTTTTTTTGGGGGGGGGAGTTCTTCTAGCTGTTTCAAGTTGTATCTTCTTTTCATATTTTTCGACCGAAACTTTGTATGCAATTCTTATCTCACCAGTGCGTGTTACCTTCCGCACTTATCTCGTATTCCTTGCTTTGATTACCAGAAACAATTTACATGCATGTAACTTTCCCTCTCCTTTTTTAACTTCCTTCATCCTGGGTCCTTGTACCATCCATCTGTGTTCCTGGTTTTGGGTCGGACACAATTTCACACTCTATATAAAACAACGGGTGAAGTTATGCTTTTGTGTACTTTAATTTTTAGGTTTTTATGTAGAAGATGGGAATATAATGAAGTAACAAACATTAACAGACTTTAAAACGCCCTTCACTTGTCCGTGATTGCAATTTTGGTTCGGGACTATTCTCGTTCCCAAATATTTTAACGTTTCCGCATTTTTGGGAAGAAGTAATAACTGTTTCCAATATATACGCCCTACTAATACGTAGACTACACGAACACAATTAACATGTGTGTTTAAACTTAAGACATAATTTTCCTAATGTGTATTCCATGTCCGCTTAAATCCAAATTTGGTTACGTCACGAGCAATAAACATTTTGGGCAACGCATTAAATTTTAATAGCCCTAGCGAGCGTGCCTGAGGAATTTTCTAGCCGCAGTTTTAGATAATACTTCTACCAGCTTTACAAAATTTCATGTGGTTACTCTATCAAGGCACGTGATAAACCCACTGTCGAAATGCCAGCCAGTAAGAAACTGTCACCTCGGGCTTCGTGCAGTTAGCAACATCAGGCTGAAGCGAAACGTGATATTATCCAATAACATCTAAAAGGGAAATGGGAGTGTTGGCCTTGTGAAGTTGGCATCACTGAAAGCACTAAGCAGATATGCTGATGGCCTTTCGGAGCAGTGTGATAACAATAATTATAAACCCACTCGCATTTAAAAAGAAACTACGATGAACAAAGACACACCGACAAATTCTGGAAGTGGTAATTAAAATAATATTGCGTTTATCTTCGGGGTGAAAAAAGTTTTGCCTTAGGAAGAGTCTGGCAAATCAAGTAAATGAAAATTACACCTTGTGCCTGTAAGACAATGTATCTTTCAGGAATTGTCGAAACCATTCTGAGAAGTTTCTATACAGCAACTGGGTGTATGCCTCGATAAATGTTATTGAAAGCTAAGTTATGGTTTAGGCCTTATCGGTCCCCGGATTGAGAGATTCGCTCGTAATTCTACTTATACAAATTTCTGCCATATGAATCCAATTTTGTATTTTACGCTCTCTCAACAAGAATACCACTCAGCTGCCTTCTGCGATTATTTCTAGCGAATGACGGAAATTTCACAACAAACTTCTTTCACGTACCTTAGATTTACCATTCATACTTCTACAGCTGATAACTGTTATATAAATAACCAGTAGCTACCAACTGGCATGCCACACCCAGTTATACTTTTACAGAACAACTTCGAATACGATATTAAAAATACAATAAAATCTGGAAGAAAAACATCATTTGAAATCTGATAAACATCTGACTAAAAGTTGCATTTAAGAAATTATATTTAAGTTTATATAATTTTATACACCTGAAGATGGTTCTTTTAGAACTGAAACATGTCGTGTAAAAAAAATGCAAAAAAGTGATGATCTAATGTAAATCGAACATTTCGATAGAGAACATCATTTAATATATTTTAAATATTTAAATGTTAATTATAGTAATATTTTAATATTTAATAGGAATTTTATTGTGATTAGACTGACAAGATTTAAACAAATAAACAAACGAAAACATTTGTACTCCCACTACGATTCCTGTTTAATTATCTGCGTTTAAACCCCGCCCAAAATGGCAGTTTATTAGCTAAGAGTTGTTATTAACCCAATCAGCATAAATTCTTTTGATCTATCTTTAAGCACAAGTTGACCTCCATTGACTTTCAACAAAAAGTCCGAAATATAAAAGAGTGGGTAAAATATGACAAGCCTATCGGCCGAAAGGCAACTGTTAGCGGTCAGGATTCTCTATTCGCAAGTTGTTATGTATCGTAGGGATTTTACTGTTTCGTACCAGGGCCATTTATGGTAAGTAGGGCAATGTGATGTGTGGCAACTCGCGAGGTGAAGTTTGCTGCCAACTGCAGAGGCGGCCTCCATAGTAACCTTCTTTTGCACACAGATTTATCTAACATTGCTCTATCTACAGCATCCAAATGGAACTTATTTAAGAGAAAGATTTAATGTTTAAACGAACCTGAAATGACAGGCACGACATTAAATTATGGTTCCCGTGGGAACATTAATTCTATTTATATTATTTAACAATGTTGTATCAATTGTGTACGTAGTAGTTGTGTTCCAGTGACTTGGCCAGAACCGATCACCAAGGATATCCGGACACGCGTAAGGTCTCTACTCAGAAGACCATCAGGCGATTGGATTGAGGGAGGGAACACTTGCGTAGGGCTAATCCTATACACACCCTCGGTTAAAAGAAAGAGCTTGTGCGGCTTGGATGCGTCACCCAGGTATCAGTTCGACACACGATCCCCTAACATGAGGAATAGGCTGCTCTTTCATTAAAATGAAGGCCGTGCTTCTTATGTTACACCGAAACGGGCTGGCTGTTACACAATCAGATAACATCGTTCAACAGCATTAAAACAGATAATGACGTCACTTATTTTCGCTGGGAGAAGGTTGTATAACACGCTCTGCGCATGCTCTATTCAGTACGACCGTCCAAAATAGTATTTCTCCTTTTTACGCAGTGTACACATGTAACAATGGAGCGAATACCGCCGTGCAGAATGTTTTTTGATCGACGAATACTTTCTCTGCCGTCCCGTTGCATGAACCAAGCCGTGATGTGCCGGACCAAAATCTTTTCTATGGAGTGCAAACGCCAAGTAAAATGACTCAGACAATACACGTTGCTAACAGCTCAGCAAATTACTTCTGTATAGTGTGTCGTCAAAAAATGAACTAAATCGATTTCGAGGCTTGGTTAGAATCTGTGGGATTTGTGGTGAACAGAACCGTTGACATTTTCTCGCTACCAATCCTGTCAGTGGCGATTGGATTTTGCTGGCCCAGGACAGGGACCAGTGGAGGGCTTTGGTTAATTCGATGATGGACCTTCGGATTCCCTAATCCATCGAGTTAGTCAAAACAGAATTGAAAAATTATCTTAGCCGTGACCCTAGGATGACTACATTGTACACCGTCTTTAGTAATGACATTATTCTGGTGTAATGTATTTTATTGGTCTTGTGTGTACAATGTCAGAGAGACGCATGAAGTTTAGAGGTCTTCCTGTAATCCCTCCAGGAAGTAGGCTCAACTTCCGCGGGGTGGTTCCCATCTCGTGCCTGGTTCTGACGACGGGCGCAAATAAATACGGGACAGCGCCTGAAATAATCATTCAAAATAAACTTTG